AAAATATATGACGTATACAATTTTAGATTCTGAGCGGAGCGATGAATGTATTGATTTTACAATGATGTGAGTTTGTTCTTTTATTTTATTTTTGTGTCCCTCATCACGGTTTAGGGCAGTAAAGCTGTTTCGATTTCCTTCAACGGCAACTTTTCTGGTGGGAAATTTTGTTGTAATTCGGTTCCAAAACATCCCAATTTTACGCAAGTGTATTTAATATTTTTCCAGCATCACTGATAATTTAAGGATTATATTATGAATAATATTAATCCAACTTGCCTACAGTATTAATAATAACTTATTATCTAGATTGACATACCATCTCGGTTCAGAATCCTTTTTCATATACAATGATATATCATATATGATATCATTGAATTCAAATTTAAAACCATCCATTACAGTGAACCATTACCATTCACCTGCTTTTTTACAAATATATTTAAAAAAACATATCTTAAAATCAAATAATACGTAGATACCAGTGACGTCTTATGAACACAATATTATTATGACTACTTTGATGATTTATAATCTTGATTTTCTTACATAATTCTAGTCATATTTTTTATGTATACCTAACCCAGTACTTCATAAATTCTATTACCAATCTTAACGATATTACAGGATTACGTCAACTTTTAAGCAATCGTTGAATCGGTCTCCAGTTTTTTGTGTCTCCATTAAAAATATGTCTAAACCTTATTAAGAAGAGGAAAATCATAAAAATAATTAATGTTTCTGTGTGTGTATTATGTAGGTATTTAAATGGAATAAGGAAAGATAAATTTCCTATTTTGGCTAATTATATAACTTTTGTTCCAATCAATATTTTTTAATTGTTATATATAATTTATTAACTCCCGTGTAACACGTATTATATACTATATACTATATACTATATACTATAACTTTATATACTGTAACTTTTTATTTTTATTTCTTAATACTGAAAATATTTTTAAATCTGATTTTAAATATTTTTGAAAATTTCAATATAGGAAGCCAACCTGTGAATCTGGTTATTAAATAACTTTAGATAACAAAAACATTTATATAAGTCGTAGTTTATATTTATGATTTTTTTTAACTCAACATTTTTTTGAAATGACTCATTAATTTGAAACCTAAAAACTTTTAAAAATATATACAGATTTTTATAAATATGTACTTATTTAAAAATGCTCATAAAATATTTTAAAAAGTTTAGACGTATTGAATCTAAAATGTTTTTACAACTAGATTAACTTTACTTAACAAATAATGACATTTAAAAAAATTGTAAACTATAAACTACAATATGACTTAATTAATTATTTTTACAAACAAAATTTTTCTAAAAATTAGATCTACAAATTGACTATTTTAATTTTTCAAAAAAAATGTAGTTATATTGGATTAAAAATTTTATTTTCAGTTTTAAAAAAAAAAGAAAAAATGTTACACTAAGTGAAGTGTAAGCGTCTATAAATGATATATAAAAAAAATTTTAAATGTTGAATAGAACAAAAGTTATTTCTTTTGTCGGGTCTTCCCGTTACATTCTGTATAAAAGACTTCAATGCCCATATTATGTGTCATGGATGTGACTTAAAGACACAAAAACAGTTCTACCGATTTTTATGAAAATTTCAGGGATTGTTCTAAGGGATATAGTTTAGACCTTAGAGTATCCGTAGCTTTAATCGCTAATTATATATAGATGAAGTGTTTCTGTTAAACATTATGCGTTGCAGATACATTTTTGCCAAAAAATTTTTGGGTGGTGTGAGGGCATAGCCACAGCGGCTCTATATAATGCTACAGAATATTGAAGCCCCCTTTGTTAGCCAGGATCTACACCTTTGGACATATACCTACTACCTAGTCACGTAATAGCATCATACAGGTAATTTCAAGGTGTATTGATAATCCGTAGATAAATCCACCTTGGCTATAATAGTATACATATTATTATGAGCACTTTAGTAGTTTACTGATAATTAACGGCTTATTATCAAACTGTTGTACAGATTGTAAATTTTTTTGTTTTAAAAAATAGTTAAAAATAATATACTTTGTAGCCTCTACTACTCTACTACACAGACCTCGCGGTGGATGGTGGAATGTTGATATGCCCACCTACGGAAATAGATAATAATTTTTTATTTATAAAATATATTGTTACACAGAGTAGTCTAAGCCTCAAGGTCATATATATTATAAATTGTCGAAAACTCTACATTTAACATATTTTATAAAAAAAAACAATAGTAGGTATAATAGTTACATATTCACGGCTTCACGCATAAAAATACTAGATCATTTTTTAATTAAGTTTAAAATCAATTAAGAAAAAAAATTGTTTAGGAATTAATTTAAAAATAATAGATATATCAGAAAACGAAACTTATTCATTTCGACAACCTTTCAGCAATTCATAGAATATACCTGCCTATAATATCAGTTGGTAAAGCAGAGAAAACATTTAACGCAATAGTCCATAGATGATATTATAAGATATTCGTTACGTATGTTAAAATATAAATAATATTAAAAAAGTATATTGTAGAGTCCTGTAAATTCTGTGTTAGTGTAAATTTAAATATAATGAGTTCATCACGTCCTATATTTATGAAATATTTGCATATTGCATGGATATTAATCCGTACAATTCTACGGTGTCTAAACATTTCTGGCCAAAGTATCATAATATATTTTCACATAATTTTTCCATTATTATAATCGTAATTTGAGGACAGTAATACAGGACAGACCTATCTACATAAAACATAAATAATTATAAGTACACACTTTTCCACATTATCGGTAGCTACCTACTTTTCCTACCTATATTATAATATTAAAATATTTCATTCAATTTAAACTGTGCTATACTTTAAGCTAGTGTTAGTCAGCGGCGTTTTTGAAGGGAGCTGTAGAGGAATTTGACTCCCGTTGCTTTTTTTTTACTATTTTGCGGAAGCTGATGTGATTAAAGTTAAATCCTATTTTAAATTCCAATTTCAACTTAGGTTAAAAACTTGGTTGCAGTCAAATATAGGACAAGATCGCTTTGTTGGCTTGACTTTGCTGAGCATTCATAGGCACAACTGCACAAGGATATTCAAATATATGAAATTATGAAGCAATTGATATTACAATTATTTTATTTTTATACGTCTATTTACTTTGTATTAGAGCAGGGCTTACAACCGAAAATATATTTTTATTTCGTTTTTAGATTTGAATGTTGGTTTCAATTTTTTCAGATTTCAATTACGGTTTCGATTACCGGCATTCACTTTTTTTCGATTTCGTTTTCAGTTATTATTCGATATAGATTTTGGTTTTTAACGGTTTTATCTAGTAAGCAAAATCGGTTTCAAGTCCTGATTAAAAGTATGTATTCATCATTTTGAGCAATGAATAAAGTACTTTTTATTGTGTCAAAATAGTGTGTTTTTGATAAGAACTGAACAAGTTTGAAATAGTGTCTAAAAACTGTAGCTAAATTTAAAAAAAAATTTATTATTGGAATTTCATTATAGTGTCACAGTGAAAAATTATCCCAAAATACGGCAATGATGTAAGTAGGTTGTAACTTGTAGGTACAAAAAATTAATAGGTGGGTGATAAAGTATCTATAGTTTAACTTTAAGCTACAACCACAGATGTTATTATTCATGTCTGCGATGACACTAAAAACACAAAATCGATTTAGTCGAAATATGGTTTTGAGTAAAAATTCCAGTTTTTCCTTAATTTTTTTTTTTCACTGTCTCAAAATACCAATTTGATACCTACAAAGTTGAACATCATTACATTTGTAATGCCCTAAAAAGTGATGAGTGATGAGTTCATGTGTACTATTAGCAGAACTCCACACTATATCTAATAATACAACACAATTTTGTATTAAATTTCAATTTTCAACTTTCTTTTCCAAATTATTGTAAGAAACTATAATTTATTTGTTTGCAATAATAAATTGCTTATAATTTAGGTATTATAAAAAGATGTACGCATTATTAAGATAACGTAAACCTATCAATCTCTGTTTCATTCCTCATTTGTGTAGTGTTGAAAGTAAATCCATACAATGGCTTCAAAATCTAAATCCTAGAGTGACAACAATTTAATATACCTTATTTTATACTAAAAATCAAACCTATAAAGTCTATCCACACATTTTACAGGTTTAGAAATATTATAATTTATAATTAATGAATTGTTAACAATTTAGGTACAGTATGAACTTTACAAAATTACAATTTTACCTTTTACTCTTTACTCTGTAGACTCTTAAGTTTAGAGGGCACAATGACCAAATCAATTATCAATTATGAGTTATGGCTGCTCCCCATATTTCATTCATTGTGATATACAACCTTTCAGGAAAAATATTAAGCGAGAATAATATAATGTGTTTATTCAAAATTGTTTAATTAATGTTTTTATTTTTAAGGTTTTAATAGTTTGAAATTTGGAAGTTTGTTTATACAGTATATTTTATTATTTAAATCAATTAAAAAAAAAAGCTCCAACCAAAGGTCAAAACACTTTATATTGTTACTAATATTAAGAACTATATAGATTATAGGTCATGCTGCCATGGCATATTTTTAAATTATTAACATAGTAATCACTAGTTACAATGAATATAATATGGCAGTTTTCCTATACATGTGTGTAAAACAGTGATGTGGGATTAGGCTCTTGTACCCTAGTATTATATTTATATAATATGGAAATCGTCAGTCAAATTTGGAAATAGTGAAATATACATATATATTATAATATTAAATAGGTATAAAACAGTACAAAATAATGATACATAGTAGAATTATTATTAAATAGAATATTTGTAAGACAATAGATAAAAATGCACAAGTTAATTTTTGTTTCACAAAATAAAATATTTCTATCAATTATTAACTATTTTATTCAATGTTTCTATTTATGTAATATTTTGCATTCAGCACTTTCTATCACAATATTAGCAAAACAGATTATGAAAATATTTTTAAAGCATTTTTTAATTTTCTAAATAATATAACATATATAATTCAGTGGAACATAATAATAAATATAGGACATCTGGAAAATTTCCTTTTCCAGTTCTACCGGAATGCTTACATAATACAGAGTCCAACAATACACATTAAATTTTGTAAAAACAAATAGTTGGTAAGCTTAAGTTAGATTCATAATAGATTAATACATTAAATTATTAACTGATGAATACAATACTTATAATAAGTTTACAAAGGAAAATTTACATAATCAATTGGTTTCTTACTAAGACTGTAACAAACACTAAATATACAGCAAAATTATAGAATATTAAAAATTATTAAATCAGTTGATTCTGATTTCAAACCATTATGACACGTGCAATGTGGTAGTTTCTTCATTGCTAAGTCCATATGGTAGATTAAACCTTGAATTGAACAAGCATTCTGCTATATTCCGTTTGAAAAAACATACCTAATGATAATGATTACTTATTGATTATCATGTTTAATATATAATTATTTAGTAATTACTAATTAATTACTAATTAATACGAAAATGTAATTTTGTCTTATATCAAAAATTTAACTCAATAAACATCACCATATGAGTCTGCGTTGCAACGGATTATTTCAATTTGTTTTGGATAAATATCAATAGCTTTAACTAAAATACAAAATAAATTCAATCGTGTTAGTGTTATATGTGAAACATATTACGTTTTAAGACTTACTAAGCTCACACATTTTAGCGAATTGAGTAACATCACTGCCAACTCCACAGAAAGGATCAACAATCAAATTGCAACTATTCCTCGGTAGTATAGTGGTAAGTATCCTCGCCTGTCACGCGGGAGACCGGGGTTCGATTCCCCGCCGGGGAGCCAATTTGATGTGGCGACGGCGGGTTTAGCGTCTAAGGTTCCGCGGTACCCCGTTCAAAGGTGTAGGTTGAGGTGGTGATTCAAAAAAAAAAAAAGAAACAATAAATGACGATCACCGATTGTGGTTTTTTGCTAAGCGTTTATTTTCACACGCGAATGACGAAGAAATGTAGTGTGGATAACAACGACCAATATTGGTGTTGACGGTGGAGAAAAGAAAAAGATATGTATTTTATGCACGACGACAAAGGTGCGTGTTGGCGCGATGACGGCGGTGGCAAAAGAGAACGAAACCGGGCGGCCGGTACTTGCCCGGGCCGACCTGTCTTCCCGTCCCACCCTATGCCTTTGTGGTGAGGTGGGAGAGTTGACTGTGTCGAACCGACTTTGCCCGTGGTGGTGGTTGGTAAGGTGAAGATCGGTCGTTGTGGTGCCCGTACTTTATACTGGCGACCGTAACGCACCGTGTCAATCATTCAGCTGTATGAAAGCTAATTATTTCAGGAGTGACAGAAAACTAACGCTCTGAAACCAATTAAAAAACATTTCAAATATTTCAAGTGTATGGAAGTTAAATTATTATTAGTTTTTAATTAATTTATTACAAGTTTTAACATTTAATTTCACTATGTAAATGTCTTTCCTTTATACGCAATCCTCAGAATTACTTAATAACAAGTTATCATCAAACACTGATGCTCTACATTAAAAATATAATAAAAACTTTTTATTAAAAATGAATTATATAGAAATAAATTTGATTATGGAAATGAGCATCATTGACTTTTATTCCTCATGTTAAGGGGCCTAGCTACTGCCGTCAGTTTTAGCTTAAAAGACCATTAGTTTTGTCAACATTTAAGTTGATTTACATTGTCCGGTTTTTATTTTGAAAAAAAGTTTGAACTTGGCTGAAAATTATCTATGGATTAAACAGAACACTTTGTAAAAATTATATCTTATATTATTGTGAACAGTAATTGAAAACTTGAAAAAATGAACTTTTTTAAATCATAATTAAAATTAAAAAACGGAAAGTGTTTGGAACAATCTACAGACACTTTATACACAATAAGTTTTTTAAGTCTTAACACATTAATCATAGATGTGTATGTGTAAAGCTTAACAGTAATAATTATAAACATCACCACAATAATTTAAGTTTTTAGGGTTCATGCTATTTAAACATTGTGTACTTATCAGTCCTGCAAGGAGCTAATGATCAATCAAGAAATTAATGTATTTAAAATAAGATGTTAAAACTTACCATCTTTGGATACCTGTACACATTTAGACGACAAGTAGATTTAATAATGTTTTTTCTAAGATATTGAACAAATCCCATATCAAACATATTTTGATTATTATAGATATATACAATTATGCTTATTGACCACTTTGGAAAGTTGACTATTTGCTTGTTGAAAATGCCTAAAAACATAAGCTTTATTAAAATAAAACTGAAGCAATAGTAATTTGTTGAAAAATAAATAGTGGTTTTCTTTTAAAATGTAAAATAGTAGGTAATTAATCAATTTATGGGTACATACTACATAACACACAGTATAATAATAGTTAGGTATTGATTTTATGATTTAATATATTTTAATAATTCACTTACTTATATTTATAAAGAAAATCAAAATTTGAAACATGATCATCAAAGATTCATTTACGTTGATTAATTACCAAAGGATTATAAAAATATGAAATCAATGTATTCATTTATGAAGTTCTCTTTTTGTAGTTTTGTGATAATTATTTTCATTGTCGCTATTTTATTTTTCTGCCGGCTAACTCATTTCCAAACTGTTTTGAGCTTCAGATTTTTAATAGCAAGCTCATCCGTTAACGCCCGAATTCCATATTTTAGAAAGCGACAACATGGAATATCTGAAGCATTCGTTCTGCCAACAGCCATAAGTAATGTTTTATTTAAATAAAGAAAGTTTAAAATAATATACTTATATATACAAAAGAGTATAATTTATAGTTGCTATTCAACTAAACTCAGTTTTTTTTTTTTAATAAAATACGATTCAATTTAAATTGTCATGCTTACAAAAGGGTTTTTAATAACTAATATATTGGAAGTGCTTTCTATATTCATGAACGGCAGAGTAGAAGGTAAATTAACTGATAACAATAATGCAATCTCATCTTCATCGTTTATACTTTTTACACAGCTAGCAGAATTCTAAAATATAATAAGAATAGAAAATTATGTATAAAAACATTTAAAAATAATAATATAGTAATTAGGTACCTGAGCATATAAATTTTCATTTTTTTCTAAGCCTTGATAAAATACAGCTGATATCAATGAAATATCCATTTCACCTTTGGTATTTAATACATTGAATCATTAATAGAAAATAACTAAAATAAAAATTATTATTATTATTATTATTTGCGAAGTAAATAAGAAAAATTAATAAATAAATGAAATAATTAAAATATGTTATTTACCTTGACTTCAGTCCTTTCAAACAAAACACAATTGCAAATCTTGTACTTGGCTCATTAATAATTGAAACACTTGGCAGGAGACGTTTAACTAATCCTGGGTGAACATATTTTTAAGCTAAAAATAAATAATATAATATAAGAACTCTAAAATGTGTTAATTTTTAAAATATATCATAATACAATTTAAACATTTTTTTGGTCCAAATTACAATAAAATTATTCCACATTATTAATGATATTTTGGAACAAACGCACAGACCTTTTTTTTCATACTGGTTTGAGGCTAATTTTTGGTATAACTTACTTTTTTACTCTTTCCACAATAGAATAGCAGTGTTTTTTTAGAATTCTTATGTTTTTGTTTTAATTAAAAATAAAGTATGCAGAATTAAAATGAGCAGAACGTGTTTAACTGTTTATAATTATACCTGTGGTGTTTAGGCCAATTTCATTAAAGAAATTCAACAATTTTTCTTTTATATATTCTTTACCCGGAAATCGTTCAAAATAAATAATTATTATTTCAATGTGTAAGTACATAATTTATAGGTATACAATACATATCAAGCTGCTTATAGACAAATAATAGTTAAATATGGGATGTCATATTTTATGATAGGTACTCACTTATGAAAAAAGACATTAGTACTTTAGGATTTTCATTAACTCCAATCTGTGAAAATCAAAATAGTTAGCCATTTTATAATGAAAACAATAAATACAATTAAATGGAAACAACAGAAATAATTTTAAATAAAATAGGTATAGAGTAGGTAAATACCACGACAAATAATGTTGATACTAAAAATAAATAAATAATTTTTATAAGTATCTACAGACTACAGAGTGAGAGCAAGTCGAGCATTCCAGTCTGATAGATTACTATAGGTTATATATAAGTATTTGGTCTAACATAGTAATACTAGACTTACTAGTAACTACTAACTACTAACTATAGTAATGTCTATGAATTATTATAATGTAATTGCAAACGCGTCGTGCCGTCGTGATACAGAGTTATCACTTATCAGTTTACAGTCGTTATCTCTTATTAAGTAATATCCACAGGTATATATAATAACTAGACCGGTCACCGGTGGAATAACTCGTAAGTTGTTGCGGTGAAAGACATAAGCGCCAAAATGTGATAAGAAAAAAAAATCGTACCTTACAAAAGCGCCAAAATCGTATCGTATATAAGCGCCAAAATTCTAGGTACCTGTGTGCTACGCAGTGGCGGCTCGTGCCTAGGTGTGCAAGTGTGAGCTCACCACATATATTAATTAGATATAATAGTGAAAATGTATAATAATAAATTAATTTTTAACAAATATCTGTTTAACTGTATTTATTATAAAAAAAATTAAATTTTAAAAACAAACAAACGACAATTATTATTATACTCCTAATTAATATTTTTTAAAGTACTTAATATTATTTTCTAAAACTGTATAATCTCAAAATTAAAAATGCTAATAAATATTTTACTAATTACATTTATACTTAAAACAGACTAATTTTTTTAAAATAAACTTTTGCAATGATTGCACACCGCCTACTTTGAACACCACGAGCCGCCACTGGTGCTACGGTTAATAGATATTAAATAACAGATAATATTATGATTAGAACTATATCGATCAAAAACTCCAAACGTTTAACCTTAATCGATAAATGTATTATTTTACAAAAACTCAACCAATTTATTAAATTTATATTTATTGCATGTATACATACCTATACTCATATTATATTTTAACAATTTATTATTGACAATTTTTTTAATGTAATATATTATATGAAATAAAATATTAATTTTGGCGCAAATGATAGGTCATTATTATACCTTTGGCGCTTATGCCATGTGTTAGGTAAAACAGGTATACAATATTAGATTGGCGCTTATGTCATACAAATTTTGGCGCAAATGATAGGTCATTTTTGTACCTTTGGCGCTTATGTCATGTAGCCAGTTGTTGTTAGTGGAAATATTAAAAAAAAAAATGAGGGTAAATCCACAATAATTTTTTATGAGCTTCTGAATTTCAAATTTTGACAAAATACCTACGTAAAAATCCCGAAAATGTGCAAATTATTTTGAGTTAGAAATTCATAAAAAAAAATTTTTTAATCTTAGATTTTATAATTAAATACAAGATTCCTCATAAGTTATGTCTATACGACTATACCTTTATCAAAGAAAAATGTCTACCGGAAAGTCAAGTTAAATTTTTATGAGCGTTTGAAGGTGAAATTTTTACAACATTGGATATTTACAATTCACTAGATTTTTATGGAATTTTCTATTTTGTCTCAGGTAATTCGAAAACGAATATAACTACCTAAAAAAATTCTTGAAATTAACACCAAATATTAATTTTATCATTTCCTATACTTGATACAATTTTCAAAATATTTGACTTGTTTGAAGCTGTTTACTGATATTTTCAGTCTTCAATTTTTTTAGTTTTTATTTGTATAAATGTCAATAATATTATATTCGTTTTTTCAAAAAGATTGAAAATTTAATACAAGGTACCTGATATATTGTTATAACGGAAGAATAACAATTTTTTCCATAGTTATTTAAAGTTCAAATTTTGACAACATTTGCAAATTATTTTGTATTTTTCTAGTTAAAAATATATAAAATATTTAATTTCTATAGCTATAAGAATTGAATATTTAAAACAAGGTTCCATGTAGATAAGTAATTGTGTATTTTTATATTTTAAACGGCTGCTAAGATCAATTTATGAGAATCCTTGTATTAAATTGTAAGGTCTTTTTTTAGAAATAAATATTTTATAGTACATAAATTGAAAAAAAAACTATTTACAGTGAATGTTAATAGTTAAACTATAAATAAATATTACAAAATCTATAATTTAAATTTATTTGTTAATAATGATTGAGACTTTGATATTAAAAATGATTGTGTTCCTCTTACAAATTATTTTTTTATTAGGCATAAATCTATTTATTTTTATGATCCGCGGACTAAATACTAATACCCAAGTGACCTCTGAATGATCATTTAGTGATGAATTAAATTGTTATTAAATTAGTGGAACTATAAATTTGTATAGATTGCAGTTGCCAGTTTCTAGCTTCTACTACAACAGTACAACATGATTTTATATTTTATTTCATGTTTTTAATTTATAAAATGCATAGAGCTACCTCTCGCCAGTGACAAAGGTCTTAGTATGATTTGATGCAGTGATACCTAACTGATTGTTTAATTAAATTATTTATTATTTTTTTTTTCAATCATAAAAGATTTATAAAGTATTTACATACATATGGCCGCATATAATTATGTATGAATTATGAACGCTTATATTCTATTATGAGCTATATCAATACAAATACCTATGTATAAAATAAAATATAAATAAAATAAAATAAATATATATATATAATTTATAAAGATTCACCCATTGACCACCGTTGAGTATAATAATTATTGCATATGCTTTATGAATAACGAAAAATAAACATGAATCATTCCTATTTTATTTTACATATGTTCAGTAGTGAATAAATGGTGGGGGGAGGGGGAGTTTCCAGAATAAATCCCCCCAAGCTGTGAGGACGAAAAACACCCATTTTGAAATGATGAAAATGAAAAATAGGCTGGTACCGAATTGGTGATTCGAGAGCCCCAACCCCAAGGGTCGAATTAGTCGCCGTTTAAAAAAGGTGTTTTATTTATGTAAGCCGAATTGGTTCCCGTTTAATTACTCTATTTTCCTTCTCATATTTACAGGCTTAGAACTGTCAATTTTAAAATAGGCTTGATTAAAAATGTGCAATTATGTTTGTTAAAAAAAATAAAATATAATAGCTATATGCAATTTAAAATCGTTGATTTGGGAGTTAACCAGTCGCCACTTAGGGATACAAAATAAAAATAATACAATATATATAATTTAAATTTGATTTGGTTTATTGCAAATGTTCAATTTGTGTAAGTTTCTCATAAATGTATTCAGCCATATATTATATATACAGTTTTCCAAGTATTGGTATTTCGCCATATATACAGTTTTCCAAGTATTGGTATTTCTTTCCGGTTTGCCGGTAACTTCCTTTGCATTATTACTTCGAAATTTAATATAACACCAATATAATAATTATTGCAATTTTATTGTATTATGGACTATGGAGTGTAGGTATATTTATATTTTATATTTATGCTATATCAAATTTATATTTTGTACTAATTTTGCATATAGGTACATATGATTTACTATTGAAAAATAATGTTTAAAGTGAAAACTCTAACTATTATAGGACCTGGATGAACCTAACCTGCATGAAAACAAACGGGAACCAATTCAGTTACTCCCGAAAAATAAACACGTCATGAAAATTGTAACGTATGTATAAAATAAAGTATTTGTCAAAATACTAATAAAATGTTGTATTCTATTCTTAATGCACTTGCCCTACTCAACCCCGGCAACCCAAAATGCATCCATTTATTTCAAAAGCTTTCCCTGATACATCATTACTACATCTATACTCCGATAAACATAATATGTATATAATTGTCCCCCTCCCCCACATAAGAAAATTGAATGTACGGTGGTGCACGGGTTGCAAAAATAGCAACTGATGCTGCAACAACTGTGTAATTTTTTTAATCATAATCCTATTTGAAATCGTCTAGAAAACAACATATACGTTTTTAAACTATGAATCTTGATAACAACTTTAAGCCTAGTCATGATTGGATGATTGGGGAAGTTATATTTTTTTGGATATAAAATCAAATTGAAATACGAATAATAAGTTATATATACCTACTGTCCTACTAGCTTAAAACTCGATCTAGGTAACCTATTAATCTGTACTAAATAGAAGTTTAACCTACCAATAATATCACAACTATACATAATAATAAAATGTGAAAATTTTAAGATTTCCTATATAAAACTCCCCAAAAATGTGTGAGTTTGCAGTATTCTTAGAGTTCATTGTTTGACTATAAGCTATGCACTATGCAGTATATAAATTCTATTTGGTTCTTATATTACTTAGGTACGCATAAAATGTCTACTAATAATTATACAGAGATTAATGATTAACTAAGAACAAGCATATGAGTATTATACAAAAAGAATTTTGTACAACAAGTAAACTTTTAAGAGATATTGAAAAAGAAGTGTCTAAAGATGTGAATATGCTTTCATTGAACACAACTGAATCTGAAATTTTAACCGAAGACAGGAATATAAATGAAATGGAACTTATTTTAATAGAGTATTTAGCAAGTTGGGTGGCTAAACAATATTAGTCTACAATATCTGAAATATAATGTACAACAACTGAATTCAATAAAACCAAAACTGTACTAGGTCACGACTCCATGATGCCATCATGGTTTAGGCATTTGTCTTATGACAAGTTAATTACTTCCAGTAGTTATTTTATAGAAATTATTTTACAAACCGAATGGTTATTTAACAAGCTTACAAACGATCAATTTCCTAACAAACCAAATGTGGCCGCCAATTTAACACAAACAATTTTCTCAAGCATGTCATTTGAAGAAAATTTTAAAAAGGTAATTCGTAACAATAATTGTAATTGTGAAAGATTTTAATTATAGCAACCAGTCGCTCAACCAATAATCCATTAAGTCCAAAATGTAATTCTAAAAACTCAACAAGTTGAGAAAATGAATGACCTAAAAATATTTTATGCCAAGTTTTATTATTATTATTTATTATTATTATTTTTTAAATTGTAAATTACCTCGTTAGTATGATTACAACTAATATCATCATCATTATAATTAATGTTTTTATTAAAAATAATTGTCCAATTCATTATACAATGATTATACATACATGTCACATGATAAATGGTTTAATTAACTATGGCTATCCTATCATTATAGTTCTGTTCCAGTGAAATGTTATACAAAATATTACACTCTGAATAATACATTGTAAAATACTTCTAATGCAAAAGAGGAAGGAATAATTAAGATTTAATTT